CATTATTATAATGGACCAATTAATAAAATTATGCAGTCAAAATAATGAGAATGTACTGACAATCTTCACAGCGACTGCCACTAAACCATTTTGAGTTAATGGCACAGAAACGACGAGATCCACGCGAGGCATTTACTTTCCGTGAGTGTATTCAGCACTTCTGCCTGCCGGGACCTAAGGCCTTTTGACCCCAGTTTGACTATCACACAGGTGTCGAGTGAGGACTCAATTCTCCCACCTCTCTTCCTTCTGCAAACCACCACACAACGCTTTACTGTATGCGGCTTCCTCAGCCCAATGTACTGCCATGCAGCTGCCACTTGCATGGATGTGTTGGTTATGTAATATCGTTCTGTTCTCTCCTCATTAGCCTGAGAAGTGAAAGAAATGAAATGAGAGTAGTAAGCCCCTTCCTGTTTTGCAGCAATTTTTAGGATGCCAGATCAGAATCTCAGTTTGCAGAATGACCTGGGACTCCAAAGCCTTCTCCTGTGACAATGCTTTCAGCGCATACTCTCTCTGCTGAGGAGAAAATGAGTCTTTAACGCAACGTGAGTACAATGGCAATTAGAAGTCAACAGTTGTCATTCTGACACCACCACCCTCAAGTCATCCGGAGAGGCTCAGCTTCACATTCAAAGCCCAGCACCGTCACTGCAAGGCTGGGATCACTCAGTACCTACATCCCTGTTCACGCAGGGATGCGAAACTGCGCGGCGGAAGCTGATTTTGAGTGTGAGCGTCTCACCCACGTGACCGAGAATATGGTTAAAATAATCCTTTTAAGACCATATCAGCTTCTGAGAATGTAACATTTGCAGGAAGGTTGCCTTTGGAAAAAAAGAAAAACATTTAAATTTGTCTAGAATTCTCCCACCCACAGACACCAGTGTGTGATAAACACTCGTCTGTCATCTTCTTCAATGTTCAGAAGAGGAGCGAGGCGGGGAGAGACGGGGAGCCGCTGATCCCAGGGCGCGCAGCTGGGTCAGGACGCGGCTGGACCACAAACCCGGCGCCTTTCCCGTTCCCAGTGTAGCGTCTCGGCTCTGGCAGCCCACGAAGCAACTTCAGATACACCAAATGCTGATGTTAAAGGAGGCTTATTGTTTTTTAGTTTATTTTCTTCCTTTTTCATTGTGCTTTTTCCATTACCATCTATCTCCCCATACCCTCTTCCACTTCTCACCCCCAATCACCACACTGTTGTCTGTCCGTGTCCATGAGTTCTTTCTCTTTTTTGCCTTTTCTGCTCCATCCCTCCAGCCCCCCAACCCCCGCCACCCTCCCAGACCTGCCAACCTGCTCTCTATCCATGATTCTGTAAATATATATTCTCTGTGTCTCCATTAAAAGATAGAAACTTGGAGGTCCGAGTTCATGTTATCAATTCCTGAAAAACACGATAATTTTGTTTCTTAGCTGGAGCAAGGGCTCCCCCTAATGGCTGCCGACAGCACTTCGGAAAGACTACAATTGACCGCTGGGAAGATGAGAAAAGCAACTCCTAAGGGTCACCCCTGGCATCACCAAAAACCCTGATTCTCTCCCATCTGCGAGCATCCTTTTCTCTCCAATAAGGCACATCCCAGGGATCTTTGGAGTATCAATAATGTCCTGTGATACCCCTTCCGACAGCGCCCTGCTACGGATCCACCCCCTGACAGGCAATGACAGCACCTGCATTTTCCAACTGTAGGTTCTAAAAACTCCAGCGTGGGCCTCATGTGACTTGTGTTATTCAATCTGCAGTCTTCTCAGTAAACAGTTGCAGAAATCAGGTGTGTTTTGCAGGCAATTCTGTTTTATCTTCTTGTTTCCATCATGGCTTCACGTGACGGAAATATCTCTTCTGATACCCTAATGCAATCGCATTTCCTTTCAACACCTGGAATTCACAAACTGATCCTGAGCTTTCTCCCTGCCCAGAAAGGGGGGACCAACTGTCCGCCGAGGGGCTGTGTCCCTTTCCTAGGAGAATAGTTTTAGAAGCCACAGGTGCTCATTCTACAAATAAGCTTTTCTGCGTTTTGACTGGAATTTGATGGCACAAAATCTCTAATAGTATAAATCACAGAGGGGCAGAACAGATAACACCCCCTTTAAAAAATATCCGTGGGTCCTTGCAATTTCCAGTTCGCCTCTATTGTAATGACTTCTTCTTGACTTACTCAGATGGAACAGTTAATGAATCCATTTTTTTCCAGTTTTTGAACAACTACTTTTTCTTGTTCTCATTAATGTCGGTGTTAAAAGCTTTATATTCCCGTACCAAACCGCAGTTCTACATTTCATCGCTGCCTCCCCAATATTCAGGAGACCCCATATCTTTTTTTTCCCTTGACCCTCGCGTCAGCCACCCCGAAACTGGCTTCACAGTGTGCAAGTCCCATTGATTCTCCGGTGGGCATCGCCTCAGCACCGGCATCTGACCAGGAAGAAGCCACAGCACTCTTCTGGGTGGAGCTGGTGAGCAGTGGGGGGGTGGGGGGCACCGAAGAAACGAAGAGCTCAGTACGCTCAGTGGGATAGCATGTTTGTGGAGTGAAACAGGAAAATGAAATGTACCTTACAGACAAATATCCCTTCCCAAAGTTTTAAAAAAAAAACCTACCCATTTTCTACATTTGAACTCCCCAATCTGAATTGATTTTATTTCCCCTTCATATTTTTTTCTTTCACTGATGCCTTTGTGTCTTGATAGCACAGAACTTTAAGTAGAAAACTGTAATTTCGCAGAGGCCCATAGGTATACACGGTGGCCTGTCCCAACTCAAAAGAGTCAACTATGTACATCTCTTCCCAGGTCTGCACTCAGTCGTGTCGTGTTCGTAGCTTGCAGTCAGCCACCGTGGGAGTATTGACACCATGGAAATTGGCCAACACTAGAAATCAGGACTTTGCACCCAGAGGGCCAATTATTAAGCATTTAAAACAACTCTGGGCACACACCTCCGTTTTCCCAGAGCCAGTCACTATGTCAGAACATAAAGTCAATTAACATCCAGGACTATCAGAGCCATCTGCCAAACACCATGGTTGAGAATTCCCACTCAAGAAGTTTACACAGAATAGCTTTTGCAGCTTTATGTAATTTCTGCAACATTCACTTCATTACGCTCCCCAGAACCAACCCTTATAAGACAAAAAAAAAAAACACAGTTAGATTATAGTACGTTTTAGTTATAATATCCGAGGCACATTACATTTAGTTATTTACCAGTTTCCAGAGGGTTTTATTCCACAACAGACAAACAGAGAATTCAGTAATTTCTAGTTATTAACAGTTCTGTGCTGACACCCCATTTTTACATGAATTAATACGCACTGTGCTCTCCCCTCCCCAGTTTTGCTCTCTGCCGTAACTGTGTGTCTCTGGATGACATGGAGGACAGAGCCCAGCAAGCTCTGAGTACGAGGTCTGCCTTTGCCCAAATCTAAAGTGGACTGAAGAAATATTCAGTTTCCCTACTGGGTCTGAGTGGGGTTAGCCCACTAATTTCTTCTCTCTAGGAGTCTGTCATGGCGCCCCTGGTGTCACTCCCAGGAATGTTAATGGCCTCAGATAACTCATCGCTGGAAATTGTTCATCGTAGAGGTTCTCACTTTGTTGTTCATTTAGCACCTGAATGGAGGCAGGGGAAACATTTCTACCTGGAGGCTCTGTGTATCTGAGTTCCCCTGCCTTTTTGTTGCCACTGCCACAGACAGTGACGGCCTCCCCACGCGAGGAGGCCAGGACACTCGGGCCTCGCCCTCCGGCTGCCATGGGACAGCGCTTGGCCCGAGTCCTCTTTCTGGGGGCTGGTGTTCTGAGCTGTGTCTCGTATGAGTCTAGTACCCTTCCTCCCCACTCCCCAGCGTTTCTTCTCACCCCAGCCACACACCTTGAATGAGACTTCTTCCTCTGGCATTGGCTTCATAGTCTTACTTGCCACTTACACTTGGCTGGGTCTGGCTGTGCTCGCTCAAGGACACAGAGCCTTGCCTCGGTAGGGCTGCAGGCACCCGCCTGCGCCGGGCCACCCAGGCTCCCAGCACAGGCCTGCTCTGAATGCCCCCTTTACTCTGAGTTCCCCTCTACCTGACATCCCTCAACATTCTACAACATTCTATTATCTTCTGTGTTTTCCTACCTATTCCTAAAGAAGGGTTGGGAGAGGGGGGGGGTATTCTAATTTTTCCCCTTTTTCCCCATGTCAGAAACCTGCAGGAGTCACAATACAGTCAACATCCAAAAGTGACTCAGACCAGATGGGTTTGTTTTCTGAGACTTGTAACCTTGGAGAGACCCCAGGCTTCTTAGTCACCCATTATCTCTCCAAAAACATTTGTGTAGGGCTAATGCTGTTGACCATTTCTAGACAGCTTTTAATTTTTATTATTTCTTCAAACCAGGAATTATTTCAAATCGTTTTGATTTCCAAAAGGATTGACATTTCTTGGATAGCCTTTTATTTTGTTATCATTTTAAGAATTCTGTTGCATCAGAGAGAAAGTGCGAGATCTTATGGTTTCTGTTTATTGGGCAATTATAGTATTGCAGGTTGTTCAAATTTTTGCAGCATCATAGTGCACTTACCATCTGCCATTTGATTTTTTTATTTTGTTTTCCAAATTTATTTACCTGGTATAGGTATATAGGATGCACTTGTTTTAACTGCTGTTTAGGATTTTATTTATGAATATACTATTATTGACTTGTTCCTTCTTTTATTGGTGGATATTGGGATCAATTTCTTTCTATGTCTCTCTCTTCCTCTTTCTTTTCCAATGGCCTCACTAAACAGATTTATACGTACCTCCTTTTTCTATGGACACAAGTGTTCTCTAGGATGGATGCCTAAATCATAATTGTTTGATCATAGTCTATACAATATGCTGCTTTGCTAGGATCCCCAAATTTTACACCAAAGATGTTGTAGTCGTTTACAAATTCTCATTAGTAGTTTATGAGAATTTCCCCCACATCCTTGCCAACACTTGATAATTTTTACTTGTTGCCATTACGATGGTTGTACAATATCTTTTTTGCATATCCCTGAAGAAAGATATACGTCTTCATTCTGAAGAAACTTGAGTCCTAAGAAAAATAAATAAAAATAAGCCTGTGCTTAGTCATATCATACTGAAACTTTAGAATTCCAAAGCCAAAGGAAAACAACTTAAAAAACAACCAAAGGGAAGATACAATTTACTTACAATGGAAGGCAAGTAGAATGACAGCGGATTTCTCACTGACAATTACAGAGGTCAGAAGATAACAGGATGATATCTTCAAAATGCTGTGGGGAGGGAAAAAAACCTGTCAAACTAGAATTCTGTGTTATTCTCCCAGTGGTTTTATCTGTGAACTCTCAGTTGGCCTCCCCCACCTTCCTTAGAAATAGATACTGTCCCCTGACATAAGGGGTGGGTAGGTGTCCGAAGCTGGGCAAGTCCTAGAAATCTGTGCCCTCGGGTCACAGGATCAGCACATGAAGGCGCATAAACCAAGAGCTCTGGACACTCAGCCCTTCCATATACATGCTTTGAATATGTATTTTCTTTGCATTGGCCCCCTGCATCTGAGAGTCCCGGGAGGAAGCTTTTCGTGCAAGAAAGAAAAATGTTGGTGCTCAAGGCCCCCAGCTCTTCCTTTGGACTCCAGCTATTCTATTATCAGGACGCCAGTAGCTCTCCAAAGGGACACTGACACCAGAAAAACAAGGAAGGTGTCACATGAGAAGCTAGATTCGAGTATTTGGCTGAGGACTTTTGGAGACCTGAGACAATGCAAGTAACAGCAAATTAACACTGTAGGTTGAAAGCAAGTTAAGGAGGTAGATTCAGCAATGATACAACCATCCTAAGGCAGGTGAACATATTGGCAAGGCATAAGGGTATCTTGGCACCAGGCCATTTGGGGAAGTGAAGAAAACCAGGATTGGAAAGAGCTGGAGTCAGAATGCATCTGGCTGGGGGTCAGCAGCCCTATCAGGGGCCAGTCTTAGTCACCTGTCCGTGGGTTCTGCATGAGTCAAAGTGGAGCTGGCTTGAGCAGAATCTGTTAGCACCTGGGGATAAGATCTGGAGAAGGCAGTGAAGATGCTGTGAAGCCCAGAGCAATGAAAGTGCAGAAAGATTGATAGTAGCTGTACCAGAAATCTGAAAACCAAGATCTTCTGTGAATTTAAACTGTATAAGTACAGATGAGTGAGGGAAAGGGATCGAAGACCAGGGCTGAAAGAAGGGTGGCAGCTGGAGGGCACCCAGGAGCCTGGAGTGAAGAGAGAGCTGTGGTGTCCTTCCGCCCCTAGCTCTTCCTGTCCTCCCAGCACTTCCTGCTGAGATCAGTGAGCAAATCGGAAAAGATCTCAAGGCTCAGAAGATGTGGCTTAGAAAAATAATGAAGTTGACATTCTGAATAAGTATGTTATGCAGCTGAAACCACTTGATCTTGATCTTTGCATTAGAGGAGGAAAATTTTAGAAGGAAAAATGGACAGGATTGTTTTAAAAATAGTTAGTTGGCAGATCAGCATAGTAAGAAGATGAGAAAGCAGAGAAGTCAGATGGTAGCAAAATCCTCATCACCAAGAGTTAAAGAGAATACGTAGACGTCATTTACATTCCAAGCCTTCCAAGCCAGATAATGAGGTGTCAGCAAGACATCAGCTGGGGGAAGCGGGGTGGAGTTGGGAAATGATTCTTTTTTTTTTTTTACTGTTTGCAGCCAAAGCTCTGGTTGAAAGTAAATGTAAAACCTTGCAGCTGGCAGTAAAGATCCTTAATGATCTCCATCAGTTGAAAACTAAGACTATTAAAGGGCCAGACTCAGAAAGCTTACAAGACAGAAGAGAAAGAATAAAAGCTGTCGGCTGCAGAAGGCGCTGTTCACAGAGAACTTAAGAAATTGGGGGCAAATTATAGTGAAAACAGATTATGTAAAACTCTGTTGCATCACCGTGCTGAAAAAAGAAATCCCAGAACACCAGGCTTTATCTTGTTGATGCATCAAGATTTCTTCCTACAGAGAAGAGAGATGCAGCCTTCCTGAGACAGAAATTGCAGGTAGCAAGCTCGAAGAGTACTGTATTTCAGAGATCTTAGAAATAAAGCCAAACCCAGAGAGATGTACTAAATAACTCCCATCGGTAAGACGTCCTGGAAGTCAGACTGGCTCCCATGGAATACTCCTGGTGCATGCTGGACACTGGACCTATCACCTTTCTTCTATGAAAGAGGCATGCTTAGCAGTGAATTAGTTGTCAGTGGGCTTGCACATAGGTACAGAGACATATGGGGTATCAGAAAAAAAAACCTTACTCTCTAATCTGCATGCAAACTTGATTTAATTGAGGAAAAGTTGCCAGAATGTCTTTTGGGTCCCCTAGCCTCTGATGACAGACTACCCAACCCTCTTTGATGGTGGACCCAAGAAGGGTATCTCCATTTTATCATTAATCAAATAAATTTTCCTGGAGGTTAACGTAGGGCTGTTCATGGACCACCAACTGGGCCAAGGGACTTTTTCAATCTGATAAAATTATCTGCCTCTAATATTGGCCCCCATGTGGTTTCATTAATAAAGAATGGCCCAGCCCTGGCCAGGTGGCTCAGTTCGTTGGAGTGTCATCCTGGTACACCAAAAGGTTGCAGATTGGATTGCTGGTCAGGGCACATACCTAGGTTATGATTTCAGTACCCGGTCAGGGGCGTGCAGGATACAGCCGATTGGTGTTTCCCTATTACATGAATGTTTCTCTCTCCCTTCCCCTCTCCCTATAATCAACAAGCATATCCTCAGGTGAGGAATTTTTTTTAAATGGCCTGAAAAGCTTGCTTGCCCTTTCTGCAGCAAGGGCCGGTTTGGCTAATGCTGATGCCAACAGCTTCCTCTTTATCAGGAACACCTGTCATCAGCTCTGCACAGAAAGGACCCCTATTATAGCCATCAGTCACTTCTGAAACATGGACCCAGACACTCCACCCCACTGCTCCTTCCTGGTGAACTCACATCTCCTCTAAAGAGGAAACTTTAGAAACATAGACCCTCTTCCCATAAGAGAGTACCTTTCTCCTGGATTAGTTGAGATCATCTTTCTTTCTACAAAACACTTCCATCTTCGGGGTCTAGAGAGAAGGCCTCCAGCCTCTGGAGGTGCCACCCCTAGGTCCCACTGGCCCCCAGCCGCGGGTTATAAGGAAGCTGCTGGGACAGTTTATGTGCTTCAAAATCCAATGTGAATGTTACTTTGGTCATTAGATTTAACACTTTTTTAGAACTTAGTTTTATTGGTTAAGAGATCTTTTTTTTTTGAGCCAAATGGTTCAAATCTGCTACTTTATTTGCTATGAAGTCTACCACTTTAGCTGTGGTCTTGCATTTTCTCCACTCTCCTCAAACCTATTGTATGCATTATCAATGTAGCTCATATAGTTAATGTAGCATAAGCAACAGGAATGGATTTTTAGTAGCATGTTGAGTGTGGTATACTTTTATGTAAATTTGTTTAAAAGTAAAAGTATAAATGTACTTATCAGGAGTGATTGTTAATCTATGCTCTTTTGCTCAGTCGTACTTTGAATAAACCTAGCTGGTGAATTGAAAATCAAAACACCCACTTTGTGGCAGGCGAATTGTTTCCTAAGAGGAAAATAAGTACTCAGTGAAGAATTACCAATCAACGAAACCCAGATGTGTGACGTAACGCCAAATAGCATGCTCTTCAATGCAATAAGTCACTTAGAAGATCACTAACGTGTTCTATTGGTATTTGCTTCCAGCCATGAAGGTGCAGACTATCAGATTCTCCTCCCCCCGCGGAACCGCTGATCTCTACTAAACTAGAGATTAACGCAGACCCTAAAAACTGCCTTAGATGGTGTGAAATTGCGGCCAGGGGCCTGCTGGCTTCTCCTCCCTCTCCTATCATAAGGTGGCATCTCCAAGTATTCCAGAGCTCCACCAGTTCTGATTGGAAACTTCTAGATCACAACATTATGGCAACAAGGTCAAGGTCATGGTTTCCATGGCCATGGGAGCCATGACCAACCTCTCCCATTTACAAATGGGAAACAGTCTGTGGTATAGGATGGACGCACAGTTCATGCTCCATAAAAAAGAAGCTATTGTTATCACTCTCCTTACTCAACAACCCCACAGGTGTGTACCTGTTGTACAAACAAGAAGAGTGAGTATGAAAAACCCCTAAAAATCACAACGCTATACCCTACTGTTGGGTTGACAGAATCGTCCTGGTCCATCAAGAACACTTCATTGTGTTCAAGCAGAAGTAGTTAAGTACCATTTAATGGTGTTATTAATGGGACTGAGACATGTGCTGTGGAGTCAGGGAAGGCGCCCTTCCAGGACCTTCCAGGACTGAGTCTGCCCATCTCCCTAACGTTAGAACAGCAGCTCAGATGACGTTCTGCAAACGACTCTCTCAGCACAGCCCCGCCTCTCAGTGAACGGTTGGAAATTTTGCAGCTTCCCATAGTGAAAGCTTCCTCGTGATTCTTTATTCCCTGGGAATGTTAGATTCTGCCTTTCTTTCTCCAACTCTTTCATCTTCCGTCTGAGTGAGCACATATGTGTCTCAAGTTAAATCTGATATTTACATCTAAATATGAAGTTGCAGACAAGGACTTAGTGGCAAAATATTGCCTCAAATTGTACATGCATTAATTAGCTACTTAATTAAATTCCTCTGGAAAAGGTTTTTTTAAGTAGATTTCAAAGACCTGGGAGGAAGCAATTTCCCTATAATCCTCTCCACCGTTCTCATCTCTGACCCCAGCACCCATGGCCCCCATCGTGAACCGGCCACTCTCCCACTTCAAGAGAAAATCAAAGCCCCAGGTAGGGATGGACTCAAGTTCCTGCCGCTGACCCTGCAAACCCCCCTGAGTCCACGCTCCTTTTCTTCTTCCCTTTTTTTCCAATGAAAAGCGACTCCCCCGATCCATGCCAAATCCGCTCATCTGTTCCCTGGATGCCCCTTCCACATCCTCGGTTCTTGACTCCATCAGAGAATCTCCCCCTCATTCTTTTTTTTTTTTAGTAAAGATTTTATTTATTTCTTTTTAGAGGAGAAGGGAGAGAGAAAGAGAGGGAAACATCAATGTGTGGCTGTCTCTCACACGCCCCCTACTGGGGACCTGGCCCGCAACCCAGGCATGTGCCCTGACTGGGAACTGAACCGGTGACCCTTTGGTTCGCAAGCCCGCGCTCAATCCACTGAGCCACACCAGCCGGAGCTCTTTTTCCTTCTTTATCCACCTTCTCTGCTGCCTTCTTCCCAGCAGCCTTCACCACGCTCAAGTGTCTCCTGAGCTCATGGAAAACTCCAGCTCTTGCCATAGTCTCAGCTTCCCTTCACAGCCAGCCTTAGTTGAAGGGGTTGCATCAACCTTCAGGAATTCCTGTTCCTCGCCTTCCATTTGCTCCATGCAGAGGGCGGCCTACAACGTCACTAAATGTCCCTTACTACTAAATAAAGTAGATACGTTTGACTCTCTAAAAGTCTCTCAATGTCTGAAAAATTACTTCTATTTTTTTAAAAAACAACAAACAAGCATCTCTTCAGTCAACAAGTATTTATTGAGGTCTTACTAGTGCCGGGAACTGAGGGTGTAACAGGAAACAGATGTTGGCCATTCTGACGTTCACATTAGGGGGGGAAGGGGAGACAAGCAATAAACGAGGGCGGAACCAAACAAGAGAGTTCCAGAGGGTGATCAGTGCTGTGACGATAAACAAACTAGAGTGATGGGCTTGAGAGTAACCATGGAAACCACTCTGGGTTTCCAAGGGAAGCGGCTCTGAGGTGATACATGAGCTGAAGGCACCGATGCAAAGATCTCAGGCCGGACCGTGACAGGCAGAATGAACAACAGCAGAGCCCCGAGGCGGGCACAAGCACCAAGTAGACACGACAACATCTTGTTTGCAAGCACGAAAGGAGAGAACAGAAAGAAGGCAAGAAAGTGTGGCCTCGCTGGGTAGGGAAAGGGCACCTGGGTCACAAGAGAGTGAACCAAGCCTGCGAGAACTCCATGCGCCTTTTACCCTCACGGCCCCGCATCCCCTCCAGCCCTGAGTAGGAAAGCGTTGGAGGAGGTGGGAAGGAGTAGGGGAAGTAGCAGTTGCCTGCATCTTTCACCCTTCAACCCCAACAAACACATCAGCCACGCTTGAGCTTACGTAAGCTGGGACGGCTTCTGGGAGGGGCCCTGCCGCAGCCTGAAGAGAGATGGATTCACTCCAACCCCTCTCCTTCCAGCCCCTGCCTCTGCGCTGAATAAGGAAAAGGGGCTCCCACAAGGCTACTGCTGGGCACATAATGCAACCCTAAGTCAAGGGCGGGCCCAGAGGGGAGTGTGTTAGAGTTCAGTTTTTTCTGGTGGCCAGCTGAAGTGCTCAGGGTTCTCGGCGGGCAGGGAACTGACATGGGACTTGGCGGGACTCTCCAGTATTCGTGTGTGGCAGAGAAAACTGAAACAGCGAAGATGTTCTCCCAAAGCCAAGTTTCATAACCTAGTACACAGCTAACACACACACACACACACATCGATCCACAAGACGACCTGAGAGTCCTCCTTTCACCTGTGGGCAAACTCCCTCCCTGCCGCATGTCTATCTGTGTAGGGGGTGGGGGAACCAGGGTAGACAGGAGGTGGGAAAGGAGTTTCTATGCGGTGATAGAGAGCCTATACCAAGACCAAAGTCCTTCCCAGGAGTCCAGGGCTCCTATAGTGGGAGTACAACAGGGGGCAGAGATGGGAAGCCATCCCCCAATCCTGTACCATAATGATGGCGACCAGTCCTGCATACACCCTTGAAAGGCCTCCTACCCAGAGAGAGAAGTCTTGGGCTGCGTAATCTCCCCTAACTCACCCCTCCCGCCCACTTAATCCTCCTCTCCCCAAGGCCAGGCTCTGCTTACTTTCCTTCCCGATCCCACTACTGTATCAGAAGGCGATGTGAAGGGGTCCAGCAGGGGAGAGCATGGAGCGGCCAGGCCTCCATCCTCCCCGAGGGACTGGCTACTGTGGCTTGGAAACAGCCATTCTCTGAGCTCGCCTTCAGGTCCCGTGAGAGAGCCCAGGGGCCATCTGCCCGCTTAGCGGAGTGAGGAGGGGGGAAAGCGGTATGTCCTGCTTCGTGGAGGGCCCATCTCCACAGCCCTGTTTCCAGGACCCCCCGGGAGAGTGGGTGGGGGCAGGGCATCACGACTGAGGCCAATAACCTGCCCAAAGCAATGAATTCTGGAGCTGAGACCATCCACATGGGCTGGACAAGCTCAAAAGCAGAGCCTTACTTAGAGTATCTGCTGTCTGTCACTCAGGCTGAGACGACAAGGAGACAGTCACAAATCCCTGTGAGAGGCTGGAGACAGGGGCCTGGGGAGTGGGACAGGGCTGCTTGCTCATGCATTTTCTCCTAGCCTCTGACACAGTCCACTGGCTACATCTGACATGTGGATTTAAACAATGCTGACCCTCCCTGGGAATATCTTCGCATTTCTGGATCATGTGACAGCCTATTATCTTGCTCAGAAAAGAACATGGGTCTTCTCCAGAGCCAAGCGTGCCTCAGACCGTGGGCTAGTACAGGGAACTCATTACAAAGAAGAAGGTCAAGGATCTAAACGATGTGGAGGGTCTGCAACAGGAAGCCAGGGACAGAAAGGAAGAGAGCTCGGGGAACACGGAGGCTGGCGGTGGGGCCACCCTGATCCAAAGACTCGGGAAGAGGAAGGGCTGCAGGTGACTTGGAACAAGCCACGCGCTGAGTTCTGGAGCCCGAGGGGCGCTGCTGGGACCCACCAGCTGAAGCCTAACACAGAGATGCCCCTCTCACCTCCAGGCAGGCTGCCCGGCGGCCCCCATGCCGTGGAGACCTTGGGCATCAGCGGGCATCTGCCTCTGCACCATGTTGGAAACCGGACAGCTCGCCCAAGGGCGCAGGGGTCAGGAAGCAGGGGGTCCAGGAGCTGAGGCCATCCACTCAGTTGAAACTCCTCCTCGGTTACTTCTTCCGTGGGGTTGGCTTGATCCTCCTTTTCAATCTGGTTTGCAAAGAGAAACATAAACATCCGTGACACTGGTAAGTGATGCGCTCTCTCTTCTTGCTGAGTTAGTATTAACTGTGCACGTGTGAACTGCCTTTGAGGTTATCCTTCTTCTGGGAAGTCCTTAGGATTCCTCTCTTTCATTTCTCAATGCTGGCAGTATCTGGCCAAAATAATATCATATTTTCCTGACCTGTTCCTAGCAAACATATTCTTTAAAAGTCCATCTATTTTTATGTGCATTAATTTGTGCTTTTCTCTTTCATCATTGTAGATAATTTTTAAACACAGGAAAACACACAGGAAATCGAAGTACCACCTCCATTCTTATTTTTTTAAAAAACTAGTCATACTGCCCATGAATGTAAAGACACAGACGTACACACATATACGTATAGGTTTGCACCCGCATTATGAAACTGACCATATTGACAAGTTCCCCTTTTGACAGAGAGCAGACTGTATTCAGAAAGGAAATAAACACCACCCAGGAAAGATGTTATAAAAAGGTGGCCCCGAATGGACATTGCTTGCAAGGTTATTCTCCATATTATATTAACTGCAATTTATTTAGACAGCAGAACTTTATGTGGCCACCTTTGAAATGAGGTTCTGTCAAGTAGTTTCAGACATCATCAAAGTTCTTAATTTTAAAAAAATAAGGAAAAAAAAGCCAAAGATGCATATATTAAAAATGTGCCATATTTTATACTAAGGACTGAACTTATGGGCATCACAGCTTTTCCTATAATTAGCAGAGAAGAGTAAAAATTAGCAATAAAAATTCATATTCAGGTATTAACAACAGCATTTTCCAAAACCCCAAATCATACACCAAGCTAACAATGCGGGCGTCCTTCAGAGGGGATCGAGGATAAATGAAGAAACAATTTAGTGACATTTGCAGAGTGAACTGTAGCCTGGAAGGTTGGAGCGCACCCCCATCCTGTCCTGGATTGTCTCTGTGACCTCCCGACATGAGGCAGCCTGTTCCTATTAGAGCCCCACGTAGATCCTGCTGGATACAAAACCCTGGGTGGTGACAGTCACACAGAAGCCACTGGTTCCAGGCCTCACCCTGTGTCAGGCACCACTGCCATCAGCCACTGCGGCATCTAAGATAACATGAGCACCTAGTTAACTAATCATCACTTCGAGGGCCATGGCAGCCACATTGATGGCCCTGGGGACGGCCGGCCACGTGGTGCAGCAACAGCCCCCAAATTCCATTTCGACAAGTGGAAGCAACTGCCTTGGGGAGACTCTGCCAGTCATTAGGGTTAGACGGCACAGTGAACCCATTAAATAACAGTTCCAATAACATCCACTTACCTAGAATGATAAAATGATAAACTAAGTACTTCACAATGGTAAATAATGAGGTACATAACATCCTTATTTTACAGATGGGAAAAAGTACGGTTTGGAGAGAATAAGTAACTAGGACTGGCAGAGCTCAGACTCCAACCTGAAGCCAGAGTCCTTGCCCTTCCCACCTGGCCAGACTAGGTGTATTGATAGGTCTCATCCAGCCAGTAACATCGGCCAAGCCCAGAGTCAGGCCCTGGAGACGGGAGCATAAGACAGAGTTCCTGCTCCTGACTCGTGTGCACTCCAACAAGGTGTCTGCAACGTAGCAGTGGAGACACCCAAGGAGTGCTGGGAGGAGGTGGGCATGTGCTCAGCAAGAAGGATGAAGGCTCCTAAGTCACAGAGCTATGCCAGAGCTCTGAACCACTGACAATAATGATGAATCTGAGGGCACAGGAGAGAAGTTCTCTGCTTACATGAAATATTCCGCACATCATCCCCACTGACCCACTCACATAGGAAAATAAGTCAGTATGATGCGAAAATCAAGCCCTGTATAAAACATGCTCATCATCTTCTCATAGCGCATCTCGGAAGGGTGGAAGTTTTAAAGACTGCCCACATGGCAGAGCAGACGAGACAAACAGCGCAGACCCATGTGGGGTCGGGAGAGGAAGCGGCAGGAGTCTGCAGCCCACATACGGCAGCCGCAGCCGGCAGCCGTCTCAAGATGGCTCTTCAGGGCCCTAGTTCCCTTCCAGAAGAGCGTGGCCCTGACTGTAAATCCAGTCCCTAGAGTGTCCGTAATAATCACCTATAAGCCTCAGGGAGACACCAGTACCTGGTGATCTTGGCAATTACCACCATAGTAATTCTAGTAGTGATGAGAACTTCAATTTTTTAAAATCCAGAATGCATTCATGCCCGTTCATTAGTTTAAAGATAGAGCATGTCCATCAGTGAACCAGAAGGAAAGATGAACCACATCTTGAAATATGAATTTGAAGAAAGCACAGGTATAAACCCACAACCCAACCCAAAGGTCCTCCCCCTTTTAGTGATCCAGAAAACCAGTTTATCAAGGACTTAATTTGTTGAAACATTTCTCTAAGAAGCAAATGTTCTAAGTGAAATAGGTTTTTAAACCACATGCAAACCTAAGCATACAGATTAAAAGTAAAAAAATTAAATTGCCTCTATTCTTAGATGACATGAATGTCAATGTAGAAAATCCCAGTCTACCCCCCAAAAAATGGTAGAATAAGTGAACATGATCTTTAGCAAGATCACAGGACACATGAGCACTATACGAAAATCAATTGTTTTCACATACTAACAATGAACAATGAAAAATTAGGAGTGTGCTATTTCAATAGCATTTTTATAGAATACTGAGGTATAAAGCAAACAAAATATGTGCAAGATCTATGTAATGAAAATTACAAAACAAACAAAAAAGAACTAAATGAATAAAGAGATATACTACATTAATAGACTCAACAGTGTTACAGTTCTTCCCCAAAATTATCTATAAAATCAATACAACCTCATTCCAAACCCTATCAAAGATAATGTAGAAATTGACACACTGACACTACAATTTATAAGGAAAAATAGAGGAACTAGAATAGCCAAAAATAATTTCAAATATAAGGAACAATGCCGGGGCCCTGGCTGGTGTGGCTCAGTGGACTGAGCACCAGCCTGCGATCCAAAAGGTCGCCAGTTTGATTCCCAGTCAGGGCACATGGCTGGGTTGTGGGCCAGGTCCATGATTGGCTGCGTGAGAGAGTCAACCATCTACCTTTTTGTCCCTCTCTTTCTCCTTCCCTCCCACCCTCTCTAGAAATAAATAAATAAATAAATAAATAAATAAATAAATAAATAAATAAAACCTTTTTTAAAAAAAGGACAATGCGCCTGGCTGGCGTAGCTCAGTGGATTGAGCACAGGCTGCGAGCCAAAGCATCGCAGGTTCGATTCCCAGTCAGGGCACATGCCTGGGTTGCAGGCCACGGCCCCCAGCAACTGCACATTGATGTTTTCTCTCTCTCTCTTTCTCCCTCCCTTCCCTGTCTAAAAAATAAATAAATAAAATCTTAAAAAAAAACTACTTGAACAATTAAAATTTTAAAAAAAAGAACAATGCTGGGGAATTCACGCTAATTGATTTTAATACTTTAAGGCTACATTAATTAAGTGTTGTATTATTAAAAGGCAAAAATATATAAATTCGCAGAACAAAATAGAAATTCCAGAAACAAACTTGCACATTATGGTCAACAGATTTTCAACAAAATTGCAAAAGTAATTCAGTGGAGAATCTTTGAAACAAAAGGTGCTGGAACAATTGAAAATGTATATGAAAAAATATTGAATCTCAACTTATGCTTCATACCATTTATAAAAAATAACTCAAAATGGATAATAATGTAATTGCAAAACCTAAATTTTAAAATTTCTAGAATCACCCATAAGGAGAAAATTTTTGTGACCTTGGGTTAGGCAAAAAATTCTGACATAAAATACGAAAAGTATAACCCATTTAAAAAATGATAAGTTGGACTTTGTCAAAATTTGAAACTGACTCAACACAAGACATGTTAAGAAAATGAGAGAGCAAGCCACAGGCTGGGAGGCAATATTTGCAAAACAGATATTTGTATTCAATTTTATAAACTCTCAAAATACAATAATAAGAAAATAATAACCCACTTTTTAAAATGGGCAAAAGATTGAGCATATACTTCACCAATAAATGTCTTTGATGGATGGTATACAAGCTCATTAAGAGATTCTCAACATCATGAGTCATTAGGAAAATGCAAAATTAAAACTACAGTGAGATATCATTGCACACCTATTAGAACGGGTAAAATTGTAAAAGCTGGCAATACCAACTGATGACAAGAAGGCAGAACATCGGACATTGCTGGTCAGAGTACAAAATGATACAACCACGCTGGAAAACAATTCAGCATGTTCTTATGCATTTAGATATATCACTGCCATATGTCTCAGTCATACCAGTTCCACTTATTTACTCAAGAGAAAAGAAAACTTATGCTCAAGTGAATGTTTATAGCAGTTTTATTCATCATCAGCAAAAACTGGAAAAAAACCTAAATCTCCTTTAAATGGCAAATGGAAAATTGTGATTGGTACATCCATACAGAGGAATACTACTCAGCAATAAAAATGAAAGAACTACTTGTTCATGCATCGACGTGGTTTACTCTCAAATGCATTACGCTAAGTGAAAGAAGCCGGACTCAGAAGGCTCCACAGGGCATGATTCCACTTATATGACATTTGGGGTGAGACAAACGATAGGGACAGAAAACAGATCAGCGGTTTTCCGGAGCCTGCGGGTTGACTGCAAAGAAGTATGAGAGAAATCTAGGGGGTGATGAAAATATTCTATATCTCGATTGTGGTGGTGGTTATGTACATAGAGCTATTTGCTGAAAAGGTTGGATTTTACTGCATGCAAATTATATCTTAATAAACCTAATATATGTGGGGTGTGTTTGTCTGTTTGTGAGAAAGGGTAGTGTATATTACACATACATGTACATGCCAGACCCTGGAGGAGACAGGAGTGGAGGAAGGAAGATCATAGGTGTGGTTGACCCAATCAGAAAACCATGCTTTGTCTCAGAGGCAGAAGGATTTAAAGACAGATGTAGCTCTGGTTGGCGTAGCTCAGTGGATTGAGCGCAGGCTGCGAACCAAAGTGTCGCAAGTTCAATTCCCAGTCAGGGCACATGCCTGGGTTGCAGGCCATGACCCCCAGCAACCACACATTGATGTTTCTCTTTCTCTCTCTTTCTCCCTCCCTTCCCTCTCTAAAAATAAATAAATAAAATCTTTTAAAAAAATAAATAAAGACAGATGTATATCCTGATAAATGTGTGAGGGCTGGTGGGGCAGGCAAGTCTGGAGAGGGGCTGAGGCTCATCCCTTTGTGGTGTCACCAACCCGTAAGGCTAGAAGGCCCTTCCTAGCTGTGCTCAGCACCCATGGGCTCAGCAGTTGGGAGAGCGCAGTAGTGCAGGTGAGTCATCAGCCTGATGCAGGATCAGGGATTTGTGAGATGGGGGTAAGAGGAGGATGGGCGACAATGGGATGAAGGCTATTGGAGAGCAACTGATTAACCATGAGGTCTAGGTTAAGGACATGCGACGGGGGAGGAGCTGTCAGACTGGGAGAACATGCACCGCTCACAGGACTGGAGGCCTCTCTGGCTAACCCAGGCCTCTGCACAGGTCGTGTGCTCCCGGGACCACCATGATATAGGAAGGCCTGCTCCCAAATGCGCAGGAATTCACGACTTACGGAGACCAATACTCCGGAGTTCAGTCACCACCCTGACCAGCATGGCTCAGTTGGTTGGGCATCATCCCACAAAGCACAAGGTGACTGGTTCAGTTCCCAGTCAGGATATATGCCTGGGTGGGGCGCGTGCGAGAGTGTTTCTCTCATGCATCGATGTTTCTCTCCCTCACTTCCTCCCTACCTTCCCCTCTCTCTAAAATAAATAAATAAACTGGTGGAAAGGAGGGGGAGGGACTAGTCAAATAACATATAGGAATGACCCATGTACACCAACAATGGTGGGGGGTTGCCTGAGGGTTTGGGGGCTGCTGTGTGGAGGGGGGGAATGGGGAAAAAGTAGGACAACTGTAACAATGTAAACAATAAAATATTTACATTTAAAAATAAATAAATAAAAATTAAATTAAATTAAATTAATGAAATCATAACAGAGAGAGAGTCTGGTCACCCAAACTCACAAAAGCAGTACCGCCCCCTGAGAGGCAGGCCGGGCCAGAGGCTGATTGGAGAGCAGGGTGCTCAGGCCCCTCTCCAAACTCTGCTGTGACCTGGAAAATGATCGGGGAATTTCTGATTTTGTTGGGCTGATGAGACCAAAAACAGATGACCAGAGCATAACCACTGAGATGAAATTAAGCATAACATATGCTTAGATGCAACTTTTCCACAAACATGTAAGAAAGTTCTTTTTCTTTTAATTTTTTATTTTTATTTATTTTTTAGAGAGGGAAGGGAGGGAGAAAGAGAGAGAGAGAAACATCAATGTGTGGTTGCTGGGGGTCATGGCCTGCAACCCGAGCATGTACCCTGACTGGGAATCGAACCTGCAAGACTTTGGTTCGCAGCCCGCGCTCAATCCACTGAGCTACGCCAGCCAGGGCAGAAAGAAGTTCTTTGGAAGGCCTGCCCACAAAGTCAGTGTTTGGTGCCTGGGGAAACAGAGGGAGGGCTCAGGAAAGGGACTGGAGGGGCTGGCTCACCCAATCCCGAATAAAAGAAAGAATGCTCCCCAGTTTTCTAGAAGGAGGAAATTCAGAGCATATGCCTTGGCATCAGGAAGGATAAAAGGAAGACAAGGCATGTAGTAGAAAGTGTCTGGGATAAGTTGGTGTCCATGTGCCTGAAAAGCAGGCAGGCTGCCTCTGCCTAACAGCCTGAATGTTAGCAGCCAGCCCAATGCCTGGTTTTACCGGTGCACACCAACCAGCCCGTTACAGTGATTGCTCATGGGTCAGCGTGCTTCGGAAGTCAATTCTAGCTTGTCAAGGATCTGTGTTGATATTGCATTATATTCTTTGGCAGTGCTGATGATTGCAAACAAACTGAAAACAATGCACAAATAGGAACCTCCTTCTACAGTTACAAAGGAAAGTGTTTGTATTCTCTTCCCAGTGTGACCAACACGTAGTCATTCAATTGGTATGTTTGTCCTAAACCCTAGAAGTCACGAGCTGCCATGCCCAGCCCAGGGTGGTGGGTGGTCAGGGACACACTGAACCTGGCTTGCTTCAGTTTCAGACTCAAAACCAGAGCCATCTCGGTCTCCTCCAGACCAAGTGCCGTGGAGAACCTGACACCACCTGAGAATCTTTACCTTCTAACAATCAGTTATCTTTCCTTGACTTTGATTTTGTCATCTGCTGAAGTGAGACAAGGGAGTGGAGGAGAGGGATCGGGCAGGGGGGACCACTGAACGTGGGCTGAGGTGGGAGGCAGCCGAGCTCAGGGTTGTCCCTGGAGGGAACAGCAGCATCATGGAGGGATGGGTCACTCGTCTGAGCATCTGGCCCAGGAGCGTGCATCATTTCCCTCGATTGCCCGGAGCCTGGCCCTGTGCTGTGCCCTAGGTCTGGATGAATAAGCTTGGAAACACATGTGGAAATAAATGGGTCCTCTGGGCTTCTGGTGTGCAAGGCTCAGTTTGGTGCAAGATATGCTGTGGCCCTGGCTGGTGTGGCTCAGTGGATTGAGCACCAGCCTGCAAACCAAAGGGTCACTGGTTCAATTCCCAGTCAGGGCACATGCCTGGGTTAAAGGCCAGGTCCCCAGCAGGGGGCACTCAAGAGGCAACCACACATTGATGCTTCTCTCCCTCTCTTTCTCCCTCCCTTCCCCTCTCTCTAAAAATACATAAATACGATCTTTTTTTTAATTCACCAATTGTAAATATATAATTTTTCAAAAAACATTTGACCTTGCTAAGATGGCGTGGATGAACAGATGCCTCTCTGGCTCACCTTTCCTCTCTACATGGACCCCCACCCCCAACCTGCCTCTTACCCCCTACTCCTGAAGCCTATCCAACTCTGTGAGGCCTCGGTGAAGCAGCACCCTGCTCCAGCACATGCTCATTGTGACAATATGAGGACATCTACACCCTGCACTCTGACGAGTTGTTTTCTTGTCTGAGCCTAGTGAAGCACAAAAAACCTGGCTGGCTCACTGCCCTCCTCCTCCCTGCACTCTGTAGGTATGGAATCAAGTGTGTTAGATGGCCGAGCAAGTGAACGAATGAGATTGACGCCAGAGGACAAAAGTGGGAGGACCAAAGGGCTGACCCTCTGCTTCTACGGGTGCACAGATATTTCTTACAGCGGCCACTTCCCCTTTCTCCCAGGCACAGGAATCTTCACTTATCGGACCCGTTACCGTGGTCGGCACTCCGAACTGATCAATTAACCACCCCGGTCCTACTCGACAAAGGAAACCACGGGAGCTGCCACCCGGGGAACCGTGCTGATGGCACGTGCGAGGAAAACAGGAGCCACACCAGGGGTTTCAGACACAGGGGGTTTCATGCGGGGAGCTGGCACCGGGTTTGGCAAGGCTGAGAGAGGGTCCTTGAGGTGCCCCAGGTGTTAGTAAACACAGGAAGCAGCTACTAACCTTAGGGCTGGGGGAACGAAAGGGAAGAGTTGGTGTTACCAGAACCTAGAAGCTTTGACGGGGGACCCCCCACGGCTGGTGCCTGGCCCTCTCTGGGGGCTGCTGCGCGGCTGCTGCTTGGACTTCTGAGGGGGGCGCTGCTTGGCTGGTGGTGGTCGGACCTCTGGGCGGGGTCGTGGCTGACGCTCAGACCTCGGAGGGGACCGTGGCTCAGACCTCGGAGGGGACCGTGGCTTGGCCGGTGCTCTGACCACCGCGGGGGGTGCAGCTGGCTGGTGCTTGGGCCTCTGAGGGGACGTTGGACGGCGCCTGGTTCTGAGAGGGGCCAAAAGAAGCTGGAGGCGGGAGCCATGGCTCTCCTCTGCTGCCGAAGGGAGGCTGGCGGGAGCTGGAAACAGGGGGGCAGGCCCTGCTCCCCCTCCCACCCGCAGGCTCCCTCCAGCACCTTCCAGTGGCAGCACCTACCAGGGAGCGCTCGGTCGGGGGGACTGGGGGAAGCGCAGCGTGCAGAGCCCCAGGCCAGCAGCACAGAGGACAGCAGAAAGGGCCGCCGCCCGGCGCAGGGGCTGGGCGGGCAGCGCGGAGCCGTACCTGGTCTTCTGGCAGGCGCAGCAGATCCAGTCCTCCTCCTTCCTCTGGTAGAAGCAGCCGCTCTTGCAGATGCTGTACTTCCGGTCCACGATCTCCCGTTTGGAGTTGAGGAAGGTGAAGGGCGGGCAGCAGTGGATGCTGAAGTGCTCGGAAAACTTCTGGTTCTTGGAGAGCCTGGGACCCTCCTTGCCCGTTTTCTGACTCATCTCACTGGGAATCATCGGCGCAGGGGGAGGTGGGGAGACACAACACAGCAGGTCAGGTGCGAGAGCCTTCTCTACCCAAGCAACGTGCTCACCCAGAATAGCAATTCCCTGCCCAGCGACACGGAAAACAACTAAATGAAGGGTTGACTCATGTTCGTGTGATTTTTAATATTTTCTGGAAATGGACTTTTGCCCCCCTTTATGTTTAGTGATCCGTTTAAGATAGACAAAAATATTACAAAGCCAAGCATTAATGAGCACCTAGAGCTGGTGGTTGTTTTATATACTCCGTCTCATGTTTTTGGCATTATCAGCAAACCACAGATGACAGAAGCTAGGAAACGTGGCCAAGTCCATCAAGCCCAGAAGAGGCAGACAGAGGATTCGAATCCATGTCCGTGGGACTCCATGGGACTCCCGGGCCCTCTGACCAGATCCAGCACACCTGTGCCCCGGTGCTCAGCCCCACTCTCCCCAGAGCGGGGGCCAGGCACTGGGCCCAGACTGGACTTCGGGGAACTGGAGGTGGGCCCGGCAAAGGGCTAAGCCCGCAGAGATGCATGGGCCTATGTCTCAGGATGAAAAAGGCTGAAAGTTGGGGGGAGAGCTCCCGGAAGAAGGGAAGGCAGAGAATGGTGTTGGGAGTCCTCACACAGCATGGCGGTGAGGGATCCCCTGAGCAAGCAAGAAAGGCCACAATGGGGACTAGAGTGTAAACTCAGAGGGGGTCCTGGAGGGGGGATGACAGGCGGGTAGGTGCTTCCCTCTGTTCCTGCCCTACCTGGCCTTCCCAGGTTTTCCGATCCACATTCACTGTTGAATATTTTAAAATCTGATGAATGGAAATACTAAAACTTCCTAAGTTCTTATTCTATAATCAACCACTCATAAAATATTTGAGAATATTTGAGAATATTTACAGGTAAATATATACTTAACAAAAAATAGGACCATACTTTATGAACTGTTGAAATTTTTATGCTTGAAAAATCATTTGTTTTTAAAGTTTTATAGATATGGACGTAATGTTATTCCTATTATTCTCTCATGCAGAGGTGTCCAAACTTTTGGCATCTCTGCACCACACCGAAGGAAGAGCTGTCTTGGGCCACATATTAAAATACACTGCAACAAGTAATCACACAAAATCTCATAATGTTTTGAGTAAATTTACAGTTTTGTGTTGGGCTGCATTCACAGCCATCCTGGGCTGCATGCTGCCCACACAGGCTGTGGGTTGGACACCCCCATAATAGCCTTAAAATCTGTAGTAAATGTATACTTACAGCCCCCTTTATAGTTTATATATTTACATGTTCTCTCATTTTTCCTGATTAATCTTGCCAGAAGTCATCTACTTTACATTCTTTTCAAAAGCAAGCTCTTGGTTTTCTCACTTGTCTTTGCTCACTGGTTTCTAGCTCATTCATTTCTGCGTGCATTTATTCTTTCTTTTCTTCAGTTGCCTTTAAGTTTCCTTTCTTATTCTCTTTCTCTATCCTTGAGTCCAATGCTTCTCACATGTGCATTTATGACTGTGCCTTTTCCACCAGGCACAACCTTAGCTGCATACCACAAGTATTAAAATAAATCATTTTCACTTTATTTTAGATGCGAATGAATTCTTCCTTGACTCATCAATTCTTCTTAAAAATCTGTCGTAAAAGTTCCAAGTGTATGGGGTTATTTCTGTTATACTGGCTTCTAATTCTAATGCACCACGACTCTTTGACATTTGCTGAGATTTGCTTTATGATGGCCCAGCACATAGTCAATACTGTTACGTGTTCCACCTGTGCTTGGAAAGCTGTGCAGTTTTAGAAACAGTTTGGAGTTGTACAGCACAGATAAAATGGACACAAACCACACTCAAGCAGTCTGTTCTTGGGCACAGCGGCCACCAGGGTGGTGGCCCAGCTCTGCGGGCAAAGCCTTCTGGTGGAGCACAAGCATGGAGGAGCCTGAGCCCTGGGGGCTGCCTGTCTAGGCCTTGACTCTTGAACACTGAATGCCTATACATGAGACACGGCCAAACCCCCACCTTGTTTAAACCTCTGTGGCTTCGGTGACAAGTGACCAAACAGAATTCCACATTAATATATACTGTTTCCTCATCTAAAAGAGGGTTTCTTAATCTGTTTGGGCTAGTATCACAAAAATGCCACAAGCTGGGCAGCTTGTAAACAACAGAAATTTATTTCTTACAGTCCTGGAGGCTGGGAAGTCCAAGATCAAGACCCTGGAAGCTTCAGCATCTGGTCTGGGGAGCCCAGTTCCTGGTCTGTGGGACAGCAGCATGAGCAAGGGGCTCTCAGAGGCCTCCTGTCTATGGGCACTGAGATCCCCACTCAGGAGATCCTCGCCCTTGTGGCCTAGTCAGCTCCCAGAGGCCCCACAGTTCAACCCCATCAGGTTGGGGATTAGATTTCAGCATATGACTGTTTGGGGGACCCAAACATTGCATCCATAACAGAGGGGACCAACAAATAATAATACTTAACTCAGCAGGTCTTTAAATCTCTTTCCCTTTCACTAAGCATTCACTCAAATGACCTAATTCCATTGAGATCTTCAGCCATGTTCTTTACATATCATCTATATCTCCAATGACATTTAATTCAAGCATTAATGATGTGTTTATTTACTTTGGTGGCTAAACACAAATCATGATGTTTTCATGGAAAAATACCACGTAATTACAGAGCAAAGATAATTATGAACTGTCTGGCAGGATAAAGAGAAAAATAACTGATTTTGAAATTGTACAATAGCATCTTCTCTAAGCTTTCCAGATGTTTCCATATACCCGTATTTTTTGGACCATACAATGCACCTAGGTTTTAGAGGAGGAAAATAGGAAAAGAAATTTTGAAGCAAAAACTGTGGTAAGATATTTAATAACATAAATAACATAATATTTCACCAATGTAAATGTAAACAAAACTCAATAGCAGCATTAACAACCATTATTCCTCCCAAATTGGGGGGAAAAGGGTGCCTTATAGTCCCAAAAATACGGTGCTCTAAAACTAAAGAGGGGGAGAAAATGAGGCAAGTATTTGAAGAGGAGGGAAAGGAAGTGAGAGGAACCAAAGGGAGGAAAACAAGAACCTCCGCCCACTATTTATTGAGTACCTACTCCAGATGCTTTATATTTATCATCTCTTCATTCCCAAAATAACTCCTCAAAGTCATCTCTCCTGTCCTCATTTCAGAGATGAGGAGAAGAGGCCCGAAGAAGTTAAGTGAACTCTCCAAGAGAATATAATAATTAATAATAATAATATCAAACTCATAATGGTCAATATGTCAAGGTGAATACCCAATACTCACTCACCCTTCTTCAATAACCAACCTTTCGTGTGGCAAAGTGATATGCCCAGTTAAATATATGCAGCTCCTCATGTGACCACATTCTGGCCAATGAAATGTAGGCAAAAGTCCACGGGGAAGATAAGGCTCTTTAATAATAAGGCTGTCATTCAAGAAGAGACCCTCCCCTGGTGAGTGCGTTCAGCCCAGCTGTTCCCGGCCCCCAAGAGGTAGAATTATTTCAAGCCTTCAGTCCTAGTCCCATGGGGCTCCTCCCCTCTACTCCCTTCCTGCCCAACGAAGACACAGCAAATACCTCCACCCCCTTGCAGCTCAGCGCAAAGCCACACCACTTCTTCAGGAGACTTTCTGGAGTCCCCCCTTCTCCCGAGGAGAAATGACACTCCTCCCTCTTTTGTGCTCTGACCTTGTCTGCCGTGCATGACTCCAGGAGAGCATCTGGAGGCTTTGGAGTCAGCCTTACAGTGCCATTGTCTCCTTGAATCCTCTGTCCTCCGAGCCTTGTACAATGTCATGTTTACGACAGATGCTCAGTAGATGCTTGATTAAGATGAGAGAATGAACAATGGGCGCCTCACCACAGCTGCAGGGCCCTCAGCCTGTCCCTGCCTGTCCCCAGATGCTCTCTAGCAGTCCCAGGGCCCCTCAGGGACCTCAGCTCTGGCTCAGGCAACAGTGTCTGTTCGGTGAAACAGGCAACACGGAAAGGGACCTTTCCAACTGACCTGGAAATGTATAAAATGCTGCTCCTTGGAAAAAAAAAATGTTAAAAGACTTTGTGAACCCGCTCCACCTTTTCCTAATTCATGCAAATTAGAAAGCATTAATCAACACGCACATTTATTTATGCATCCTAGAGATGGCGCTAGCGTCTCTATGTGACCACCAGTGTTGTCGATATCGACTTTACTGGTCCCTAAGGCGACCGCAGGTGGAGATCAGAACCCCGAACCTAAAATGGATTTTTTCCCTTCCTTTCTACCACCTTTTCTTAAAAGGCAGTTGGGACATGTGGTAACTACTTAATAGAAGTGACGTGTGACCCTCAGTCCTGGGTGGTCCTCTGGGAAGACAATGCAGGTAGTAAAGTGACATGTTGCCATTGCAGCCCACATGTTCCCACACGTCTGCATGGACCACATGTCAGAGATCTGACATGGAAATGGGCACGGGCTCTGCAAAGTGAAGGGCGAGTGCAGGTCAGTGTGTGCAAAACAGAACAGTTCCTCGATTCTGGTCCCTCAGGTCCCTCAGGACCACGAGCGAGGGAGGGCCTGCCCTTGTCCTGTGTTGGGAATTCGTCCGGGGAAGGACCGGACACGAGCCTCGGCTCTGACCAGCCGGGCCCTGAGCCGTGTGTGAGGACGACACTCTGGCTTCAGATGTCGGAACTCCAAAGGAAGACCATGGCCAGGCCCCAGACCTCTTAGTATGTGATATGGGTTAAGGAATGGGATGTTTCATACATCCTCAGGAAAAAAAAAATTTAAGTTAACAAACAAAGCAAGAAATTTCCAACTTATTTCAACTCAATTCAGGTGTACTGTCCCCAAATCACAGCTTTTTCATTCTCTTTAATTGTATCATTGATGCAATATTACGAGCCATCCCTTGCTAAATATTGGCTGGGGAAGACAGGGAGAAGACCTCAGAAAGTGAACTCCTGAGTTC